GGTGCTGTTGGACTTGGCGGAGGAGGGTGGCTGCGAGGGCTCCTGCTCTGGTGGCTCGGCTGGCTCAGGCGGCTTTGCAAAGAGGTCGAAAGCGTCCCCCCCTGTAGCTGGGGGGAAGAGGTGACACTCGAGGATGGGGGGCAAGCGGGGAGGTGAGAGGAGGGAGATGTACGGGCAGGAGAGAGGCAGGGGCGGCTGCCTGCAAGGAGACGGGAGAGGAGGGTGCGTGGCAAGGGGTCGGGAACGTCCACTGGCCCGGGGGACTGAGATGAGCCAGAGCAGGAGCCCAGTCTGGAGTAGGCAGTGCTGCCCCAGGCAACTCCCGCGCTGCCCGCAGCCACCCCCCTGCGGCAGGCAGGTCCCCTTCCCAGCCCCAGCGGGAACAGGTCTGCAGGAACACTTTACAACCAGCACTGGCCCCCAGGCCGGATTCTGCCCTCCCCAGGGACCAAAACGGAGGGCGGCACAGGAGGGACCTCCACGGGGCCGGAGGAAGCACCAAGGAGGAACCGAGAGTGGCACTGGGCTCTCAATCACTGGCTGCTCCTACAACCGCTTCCCCATCTGCATCGCAGCACCTGCGAGCAGCAACCGTCCCGTCCCGGCAGGGAACGTAGGGCTGGTTTGGGGGGAGCAAATAAACAGGTATCACCGGGGGTACGCCCACCATCACCCCGCTGGTGGAGCGGTGCAGCGGCTGCTATCCGCTCCCACGGGAGGGCTCCGTTAACTGTGCCGCGTTAATTAAAGCAGCCTACTCTGTGCAGACGTAAAGCCTAAAAGTTCCTTGAAGTCTCCAGGATGCCGAGGGGCGAGCGGAGGTCCTGCTGCGGGGCAGGAGAGCGGGGAGGGGGTGTTTGCAGAGCTGGCTGTGGGAGGAAAAGGGGGAGCGCCCGGGGTGCCTGCTCGCAGGAGGGCAGCGATGGGCAATGCTGCCTGCGGTCCCCAGCGGAGCCAAAATGTCACCCGAGCCTCTTACCAGCGTTAGGAGGTTGCTCGGCCACAGCGGCCCAAGGGTCAGTAGCCGACGTAGAACCAGGGACCTGGGCAGGGGGGGATGCTGTCGCCCAGGGGTCTGCCGGAGGGAAGCCAGAAGACAAGGGTGCCTTCCCCCAGGGGTCGGAGGCTGCGGTGGTGCTGGGGGGGAAGTCCCAGGGCCCAGCCGAGGTTTGCTGGGACGAGGCGCTCGCCTGGGAGAGGGTATCCCCACCAGCGGCCGGGACTGGCACCCAGGGATCAGTTGTGCCAGCCCAGGCAGAGGCTGCTGGCTCCGCTTTGGGTTTCATATCTGAAAGAAGAATTATAGAGTCGTTTTGGTTGGAAGAGACCTTTAAGATCAAGACCAGCTGTTAACGCTGCCAAGTTACCACTAAACCATGTCTCTCAGCACCACGTCTACCCATCTTTTAAACACCTCCAGGGATTTTAAACACTCAACCACCTTTTAAACACTCAACCACTTCCCTGGGCAGCCTGTTACAATGCTTGATAACCCTTTCAGTGAAGAAATTTTTCCTAATATCCATCTTAAACCTTCCCTGGCACAACTTGAGGCCATTTCCTCTTCTATTCTCTGTAACTTGGGAGAATAAACCGACCCCCATCTCACTACACCCTGCTTTCAGGTAGTTGTAGAGAGCAATAAGGTCTCCCCTGAGGCTCCTTTTCTCCAAGAGGGGAAGCCATGGGAGAGGGGAACAGCGTGGGGCACAGAGGGATGCTGAGCAGTGGGGATGTGCCTGGGGAACCTCGGCTTCCAGCAGCACTGCCCTGGTGTGCAGCAGATTGGGCAGCGGAGGGAAGAGAAGGGAGAGGTCCTTACTGTTGAGGTCCTGGGAAGTGGGGAGGGACAGAGGCAAGGGAGAGGTTTTTGCCACTGTCCCACGCTTTGGCAGCCCGCGAGTTGCCCCCACCTGGCATATCCCACGGGTCAGCAGAGGTGGGGCTGGCAGGGGCTGGCGCCGGCCCGAATATATCTGCCAGCTCCATGATAGAGGACTGCAAACAGAATGGGAATAAAGAGGTGACGGAAGCCCAAGGGCAGACCTGCAGGGCCACAGATTCGCCCTGAAGCCCAAGGTTGCCTGTGTGGCCATCCAGTCCCCCAGTGCTGTACCTGGCTTTTCTTCATCTTATCTTCTTCCTCCTCTTCCTCCCTGCCCTGGGCAGTTTCCTCCATGGCTCTCTGAAGCAGGGAGTTCTCCCCTTGCCAAGCCCTCACCTCCTGCGGGGACAAGGGACGGGGCCCGTGAACTCAGCAGCCCTGCAGCCAGCACCTTCTCCAGGAGACAGACCCAGCGCAAGAGCTGCCACCGCATCCCCGAAAAGTCCCAGCGTCCGAGCAGATGGCTCCTCTGGGGCCGAGCCCACCGGGAGAGCGCTCAGCAGACAGCCCCAGAGCAGCGAAAGCAAAGCGAGCGCTGGAGCAAGGTGGCATTTTGGGCTCCGGCGTCCCAGAGAGAAGCCCAAATGCAAGGAGAGAGGAGCACCCGGGGCTGCGGGGCACAGGTACCTTCTCGTGCTCCTCTTTGCTCAGCGCGAGCGCTAGCTGCAATTGCCTTTCTTCGTCTGTACTGGAAATTGGAGGAAGTGGCTTCTGCCAACAGAGGAAATTGGGTGACATTTCAGCTTGCCCTCAGCTCGCGGGGCTGCTCAGAGGTCCCTGTCCTCACCACCGCCTGTCCTGCGGCCCCTCACCTGCCTGCCCAGCATCTCTGCACCCATCTAGCTGGCTTTGCCTGCGGACCCACAGACTGGTGCCCCCATGATCTCAAACTGGACCCTGCTCGGGCTCCCCTGCAGCCACTGCCCCAGCTCCTTCCCCTGCCACTGTACCTAGGCTGGGACAACCCTAAATGAGGCAGCCAGCATCTCCCCCGGGAGGTTTTTGGGACTCCAGAGGAGATCGATAGGCATCCCCTCACCCCGGCAGCCAGCTGCGCAGGAGGGTTTGCGACCCCTACCGGCCTCGGTTCAGGAATCCTGCCCAGCCCTGCTCTGCTGGGGGAAAAGCACCCAGATGTGAGGCAGATTTTGGGGAGAAGCTGTCCCCATACCACCATGGCAGCCCTGTTCACCACCCCATGACATTTGTCCGGTGGCGTGGGACCAGCCGGGGCTGGGAACGGGGACCCCGGTGAGCATATGCATGTGCGCTCGCCTGTACAAGTGTGTGCGAGCGTGCACACGCGTACACAGCCCAGATGGACTCCAACAGGCAACGCTTGCAAAAGCATGTTCCTACAGTGCTCATCGCAGCAGCGTGTGGAAGCTATAAATACTCCAATTCCAGGACAAAAATAGGGATATACGCTCTGCTCCGTCTCCAAAAGAGCCTCCATCAGGCAGGGGAAGACGAGCAGCACCAACCGCCGTTTCCGAAGCACGTCCCCTGACCCAGCAGGACCAAGCTCACGGGGCTCAGT